ACAATAGCAAACGAGATATATTCGTTCGAATACAGCGTCATGTGATGAACAGCCCTCATTAATTTTAGAACAAGTTTCATAAAATCATTTTACTCTTTCTTGTTATTGCCGAAAGCTGTTCGAAGATTGGTTGTACCATCACAGCAAACAGTACTTCGTCATGATTCAGTGCGAGAGCTATTGCCACTGGTTTGACTGGTAACACGTGTTTTTGGTTTGTTTTGTTTTTTCCTTTTTTAGGTCTAGTGGAGTTGTTAGAAATTACCAAGCAAAATTAATCCGCGACTTTCTTCCTTTAGGTGTTGTGCAAAAACAGATGAAGTGCCCGATGAATGGATTTGTCCTTCATGCGAACAATAACCTAGAAAATCAGTTTTCCACGAAAAAAACTCCCTCGATTGCAGCTAAGCCATATTTTTCCAGCAGAGCATACTGTAAATTTAAAACATTGGTCGCAGCGTCACGCAACATTGCGTGATTATTTTCCAAACTGCATTATTTTCAAACTTAGAAACTACATGGCCCTGTAGTAATAAAAGATGGCTTTATTTGCAAGCGCTGTAGACTTCAACATAAGAAGAACCTAATAAATCGCTCTTTCAGTTTTTATCTCAGTGTATAAATTTTTAGCCAGAACGAAAAAAAAAAAAATTAGTATACGCGTGAGCTGGAGCCATTCCTGTCTGCGGTGAAATACACGAATGGCTCCAGTCTCTGGTCGTCCGCCTAAACTGACTAAAATGAGTTCTGTCAGCGGAGCTTGTCAGCGGATGACTTTTTCATCGCCGGAATATCGCTGAACGACCTCGCTGAACAAGATGGACTCTGCCTTCTCTTCATTATGTAAGTAGCCATTTCTTGTTAGACTCATCGGTGTTTTCACAATGATATTTCATTGTTCCACTTCGAGACACGCGGTTCACAATACTCACGAGCAAGGAGTTAAGATATAACTTATTAACTTTTACTATTTTTATCATCCAATCACAGGTCGGAGCCATTCCTGTATTTAGTCTTTAGTCAACATCAAGTGATCAATCATGTCTAACTTAAAAAATTGCGTGATCTTCAGCACGTGCTCACGATTCTTTATTCACGATTGTGAATAAAGAAGTTTTGCCGTCCTTGTTTGTTTATTTTCTTTATTTTGTTTACATTCATCCGGACTCTTGGGAAAACAAAACTAACTGTTTCCCTCAGGACCATTCATTAATTGTATCACGGACTACCTCTTGCGCGTGGGTCACGTAGCCATTGTGATGAGTTCAAAAGACCTCATTGACCCCATGTTTTGTAACAAGAGAAGTTTCGATGGCTTAGAGAGGGTAAAAAGGTCTATTACTTCTTCAACGTGGTCGCCTTTGTTAAAAAAAAAAGCACTTTACGCGCTAAAATGGTGTACTTCTATTCCCCGACAGACAACCATTCAACGGAGAGCCATACATGCAAGTTCTTCCCTTTTCAAAGCGCCGTAAAAGCAAAAGGCAAGTACAAACGATAGATCCCTCCGATAAGGTTAGTGACAGTATTTATCGAAAATCTCTCTTTCTGAAAACAACGTAAAATACAGCAATTTTGAGCGGATGCTCTATTTTCATCCACTCGAGATCTCGCGGAAATTTACGATCGTCGCATGCGAGCAGTTGCATGTGGTGTGTATAGTTGATTTATGATTGCTTTTGTACTCTGTATTATGGTTTTTTTTTTTTTTCATTTTCATAACCCTGTATTGTGAACCGGAATTGAGCCTGAATAGAACTGTTACAGTGACAGCATACATTTGTTTTCACCATGCATGAGCAGAAATTTTAGAGGCGGTGAATTCCTTGTGTAGGAGAAGAGATAAAGGGTCCGGCAAGCACTTCAGAGTGTGTGGCTGCCATTTTAGAGATGGTAAAAAGTCGAATGGCTCAGAGGTCTTTGAACGAAACAAAGAAAAATAATATTATTTTCCGAGCAAAGGGGATCTCCTAAGAAGAAAAGGAAGAAATGCTTTAGGAGAAGACTAGTGCTGAGTTAGTGGAAGATGCTCGAAGAAGTTAGCCAGTATCTCTCCAAAAGGGAAAAGTAAATAAGGAAAAAAACATCACAGGGGGTTATCCTGGACGCAGAACTGGACTTAGCCAAAAGAAATGTTCAGGATCTCCAGGAACGAGTCAAATATAAGAGCAAGTGTTACACTGTATCAAAACTGCCTGAGAATGGTATTAGAATGGAAACTGGCCTTCTAACAAAGGAAGTCTTCAAAATTGTTGTAAGACATGCCTCTAACTTTAAAGATTCCATCGATTATTTCAGGGGCTGGAAGGTTAAATCAGTCACTTTTGAGGACCAGATATTTATTGCCTTAATGAAGGTCAGGAAAAACGACACAAACCTTCACTTGGTTCAACTGTTTAATTGTACAATTTTTTGTACATATCGAATCTTTAGGGTTTTTTCTTTGTTCTCAGATGATATAGCTGATAGCTGACGGTCGAATAACTTTAATTCTAAAGAAGTTGGAGGCCACTGTCGAAGAAGATGGTTGTCTTCAACAGCTGCTATAAGCATCTTTAAGGATTCAATTGCAGTAACTTATGGTCAGGGATTTGCATAGTTTAGTATCGACCAACCAAAGGATTAAACGAGTAGATGTTAATTTTATTTACACTTTTCGAAAAATGAGGTGATCTTATATTATCTTCTAGAGGTTTATTTTCAACGAGTTCTGAATAAGATGTTTATCCAGCCAGGCAGGTGAGAATGGAGTCGACGCGCGAATGCTTTTTGACAATCCTCACGAGAGTTATATAGCATGATCCTTTTTTGCTCTTCTCTCTTCTTTTTTTTATCACCGCTATAGAATTTCTGTCATTCGCCAAGGCTGCTGATGGTAACATGGAAAAGCTTTAACTAGAGTCTTCCATGCAAAGGTGGAACACTCATAACTAGGGAGTAACCTGACATGAAAATTGGTTGCTGGTGGCAATAAAAGCTGTTTTTAATTGTTTCAACTTTTGACCCGCCACATGGGAAATTAAGCAACCGTTCCTTTAAAAGCATAGAGAGCAAATCGTCCTCAATTGGAGAGCAAAAGACAGCCTGTTTCAATAGATTCTAAAATGAACGTGCAAAGAAAGACGGAAACAAGGCATACTTTTAATAACGACGACAAACAACATGCGTTTAATGTGACAGCTGTCATAGAAAAAATTGACAACCAGTTGATGCAATTTGTACCTTGTCTGAATTCGAGTATACTTGGTACCTGCGACAGGCAAATAAAACCACGATCATAAAATAATCCTTTTTTTTTTGTTGCAATCATACTTTGAGAAAGAGTTATTGCGCTTTCGTAATTTCTTGGTTCGTGTGTTGACAACATCCAGAGTAACTTTAATTTTAAATTGAAATGGGCTTTGGTCACTGAGAGAATGGAATTCTTTGCATTTTCAGCTTGGAATAAGTTCGTGCAGATTAGTGAAAATCATAACCTTAACCTTTTCACCCTTAGAAATTAAGAATATCTGGCTTCTTACTTCTCCTTACAATATCGCTCTTGAATCAAATGTAAAGGTCAGGAGAATAAAGGAAATGATCACCATATTATGAAATTCCTGATTGTCTTAAATAATTCTCCTTTTTAGTATCAAAGAAAATGTAAAGAGAAAACAGTGTGGAGAATCTGAGTGCTAAAGCCGAGTTGGGAAGGCTTAAATATGATCCAGGAATTTTTGAAAGAGGGGAGGGTCTAAAATTTGATTCAGAAATCACACATTAATATCACACTAGATATTACTGAATTTCAAAGTATTCCAAAACAAGGACATATAAAATACCCCCAGTTGATAGTGATGTACGTGCGATCCTGTCACTAGAAGAATTTATAAGCAGTGATAATACCCACTCATGAATCCACCACTCAGTAGGTATTATATAGAATTTTAGTTCTCTCGGACTGTACGGTTTTAATAAGCAATCGGCGAGCGCGAGGTAGGGTATGTTCTGCCCAAATAGTCCCCTTCATAGGAAAAAATCGTTACGATTTTTTAATTAAGGCTAAGGTATAATCATGGCTTTTGTTTTTAGTTTTGTTTTTGGCCCCTGTTTTTACTTTTTGTTTTAAAATGAGGGTTTGAGTCTTTTTTATCTTAAATCTCACCCTGTCATTTTCAATCAAGTGCGGAGGTGAATTCTTAATAGACAGATTGAACAGGCCTAACCACCCACCATTTTAAGAAACTTTTTGGAGACGGACAGAATTGTAAACACTTAACGATGCAAGTAAAAATGTTTATTCATTTTTCAAAGGCTGTTTATTAGTTAAAACGACTACAACAAATGCAGAAATATAGCAAACATAGTTGAACATCCCTGCATCACTCACTAAAGGCTGCATCATTTCTGTAAGTACTTTTGTCACAGAAAGTGCAAACACAAAATGATTGCTTTAACACGTTAACTCCCAAGATTTTATTTTGAATTCTGCCCTCTAGCTGCTACACATTTCCTTGTAAATCACTAACGAGAATTTGGAGTCGGATCAAAGTAACAACCTCTATCTGATAAGTTTGAGTATTTATGATTTTCATGGGGAGAACTTGCACGAGCAAAACCAATTCAGGAGAGCTAAATGGTACAACTCTCAGGTTTCCTAAAATTGTCCAATGTTTTCACAATTAAGTCAAAAATTTGGAAACATGGCCTGAAAAGTAGAAATTTTAAAAAAACCCTTTAACTCCGAGAGGTGATTAACATGTAAATTATCCCTATAATAACCTAGGTCATCCAGCAAAAGAGAAATGAGAATACTTTAAGTTATCAGGTAAAAGTTGTTATCTTGATCTAACACCAAATTCTCGCAACTTATTTACAAGGAAATGTGTAGCAGCTAGAGGGGAGAATTAACAATAAGATCTTGGGAGTTAAAGGGTAAATAAAACTAGTTTACGATGTAAATATTTTTAAACAATCACGAAGATTTTGCTAGTCCTGATGATGATGACGAAAAAGGAAAATTAGGCCCCTTTTTTGATACCCCAGTCTTCGTACGCTCTCGCATTACACGGGATTGGCCTCAGTCCTTCTTTGTGTATTCGCCCTTCTGAAAGCGCCACACAGATCTGGCAATAAATAGGATACTTTGGTTTCCAGTGATTTCCAATAACGGTTCCCGTGATATTTCCTACTCCTTTCGACTTCCACGTCAAATAATTGTTATACTCTGTCTCATTTGTGCTCAGGTACTTAAGATAATCTGAGAGATCTTTTGGAGTTTTGAAATCACGGACTTTAATGACGGATTGTCGAAGATTGCCCGGCAGGAACTCGTCGAGTTTATCTGTACTCATTACCACAGGAACTGAGCCTGCATTCAGCGCATGGCTTAGTTGATCATCGACAAAGTATTCACAGTCCTGGTTAAAAAATACTAGTGTAAACTTGTATTGTCTCGCTAATTCACTCTTCAACTCTTTGAAATTTTTCCCGTTCTTGGATCCATAACGGCTCACTAGATCATTCTTATTCCTGAGACAAGCTCCATAAGAATCGACCTGCACAAACTTCATTAATTGTCTCATGTATTCCGTTCGCACAGGCTCACAGTTTGAAAATGCTGCCATTATCAGCTTAGTTTTTTCCTTAAATGTAAGTGGTGGTGTTAATTGAGGCATGGGGTAAACTGGGACGGGGAAATCGTAGTCTAACCGGTAACTCATTAACAGATTAAATCTGGACATAAACTTGGCGTTTTTCATTACGGGAGTGTACACCGGGTTTTCTTGTGTGTGAAGGATCCATGGAACAGATTCCTTCGGAGGTGTCATGTGTGAATCCCGGGCATGAACAACGAACCCGTCTGCCTCTCTGGCTCGAGAACGATCAGATGTGACCTGACAGGCCACTGGGCAATCACTGTCATTCCATCTCTCAACAATGTGTGGCTCACTTCCGAAAATAGTCGACCAGTAAAGAATTAAGCATGGTTCTGTTGTGTTTGAGTTCCCCCTTTCTCGGTTTATGTTACCATACCTTGGAAGCGTTAAAGTAACTTTAAGTGTTGAATAATTTCTTTCGAGTTGCCATAAAAAAACTATCCCTGCAATGACGACAAAAAACAGAACCTTTGAGCCAGAGGATTTCTTCGCCATTGTTGACGCCAATAAAGGTTTAGTGATTACCTGTCCATAAAAAGATTTACACGATAAGGCGAATGGATTTGGAAAGGGTTACAGGATGAATATATGGAGGTCTTTTTTTCTCCCATGACGAAATTTAATGTCATGGATTTTCTTAACACAGTGGTCAACGTCTGCGCATGTGCGAGCTTTGTAATATCTAGGTGGTATGCTGCAGTAACAGGTGTGAACTTAGGGACTGAAGCAGAGCATCTGTAATATGGCTACGAGATTCTTAACGACTGCTATCGCTTTAGCTGTCTGGATACATTAAAAACAGCTTGCATTGAACTATAATTAAAAAAAGGCGCTTACCCTTCAGACCTTTCCATACGGACAAACTCCATTAAATTTTGCCCTCGATTCACATCAATAACAGTCGAAAAAATTATACCATAATGTTCTGTTCGTTCCTCGATGAAATTCATTCACCATGGAGTCAGAAAACGCTCCCCGAAAGCGCCATATCCGCCGTGCATGCGCACTCATTTTTCGGCTGTGTCCAAAGCTGACGTTTAACCCTTTAACTCCCAGAGGTGATTAACAAGTAACTTCTTCATACAATATCCATTCACTCCCCAACAAACAGGTAATGAGAATACTCAAATGTATCAAGTAGAAGTTGTTATCTCGATCTAACATCAAATTCTTGTAACTTATTTACAAGGAAATGTGTAAAAGCTAGAGGGGAGAATTAACAATCAGATCTTGGGAGTTAAATGGTTAATAATGGGCAATTTTCCTGCTCGTAAACACTACAGAGGAAAATTAAGAAACAACCGCTGCCACACAAAACATATGCAAAAAATGAAATTTGATCGAAATCTGGAAGGAAAGAAAAGCGGAGACAAGGAAAACTGAAGACTTTTTAGCGACTGGTTTGGATGCGTCCTTGTCATTTCTATCTAAGTCGCGAAGGAGTTCTCGGAATCGGTCACCAAGTCGTCTTCCTGTTTCACCAATGTATAACTTTAAGAAATAAGTGCATGCTAAGTTATGCAAATAAATGACATCATCGGAGGTGCACTTAAAGTGATCAGTAATCTTAATGGATCTCTTAGATCCGGACATTTTCTCTATGTTATGAATGAAATGAGAGGTTTTGCATCGTGAGCGGACGCATTTGAAAGTTCCAGGTTGGTCATTAGTTTGAGATGAACTTCTACCCAAAAAGTTTGCCTTGTTTTTGTCGCATTTGAATGAAATTGGTAGAGATTGCGCAAAGATAGTACTTATCTCTGAATCACTTTGAAGTTATTAAAGTTTCTAAAGACAGTACTTTCAATAACACCCGGCACCTGCTGGAGCTTCGGCGGGTATGCTGTTGTGAATCGCTGGGTATACTTTGCTCTATAAAAGTTAATCACGCTCGAAGTTGAAGTGCTCATCGTCGGTTACCTAAATAATTTTCAAACAAGTTTGTGCTGAACTAAAATCGTTAAATACTTTTAGATAAATAAAACAACAACAGTTCTTCTCAACTGCTAGTTAGTAAACAAACTTGAAAATCAAAATTAGTGAAAACAGCTCGCTTGTTGATAGCACACGTAAATCAAATTTGAAATATTTTTGCAAAGATGTTGACCTTGCTTAAGGACGCTTAACCTAGGCTTGGCTGTGAAGAGAACTACAAAAAGGCTATTAAACACTAAGCGTCTAAACTTTTATAAAAAAAACCTGCATTTGCTGAAAAATCGAAGAAGACCTTGTTCTACGCTAACACGACTATTGTTTACGATCCGATATGAAACACGGGTCGTAGGAACAACTAAATTCATTGGCTGATTGATTTAATTCAATTATCTTATGTATAAATTTAATGAACAATTCTGCAGAAAGGAATAATCCTGAGGTTTACCCAGGAAATAGAACTGGTTTTTAGAACTTTAATTTCACCCAGTAACAAAAAAAGAAAAAAACACAATACAACAAAAAACAAAACAAAACAAAACTAAACAAAAACCTGCAATCACAAAAAATGCATTCAGCGTTCGAAGCAGGAGACTGAGAGGTTTGTTTCCAACTGCAAGCAGAAGAAACCTCTGTAAACAAAGATCAGGCGAACAAAGATTTGGATCGTAGCCTCAAAATTTGAGAACATATGTAGACGGAAATTTGATGCACACAGGATATTATCTAGTTTTGCTTTTGTTGACTGCCTGTTAAAAGTGTTTAGTATTATGCGATGTTGGATGGTTAACACCATTCTGGATCTTTCTATGACTTTCTGGAAGCCGAAGTGAGACCTCAAATACCTGGAGGTCTTTTAGATGTCTTTCAGGCGACTTTTATCTCTATAAAAAGGTTTTGAGTAAAAAACTATTGGTATTGTCTTATCATATCGTAAACCAAACTTTCTGGAAAAACTTTCTGGATTTTGAGTGTAAGAGAACATACTGACTAAAATTTCCGAAGTAACCAGTAACCACATGTCCTTTCAGAGGACTTTCTGTGTGAAACTCAGGCAGTAGGTTTGCAAGTCAGCAAATGGAAGATTTTTATCAGAAGTAAACAATCAGTTAAACAAATGTTACAAAGGAGGAGACTAATATTAAATGAGCATCTACCAAAGTTCGCCACAGAAAACTCTGTTTGAGGCAACTTTACTCCAATGGAAACTAATTTTACTCTAATGGAACTAATGGGCTAACGAGATCGAAATTGTTTTTCATATTACCTACTTCAAATCTTATTGAAAGCACTGGTGATGAATGCGAAGATGAATACAACCAGTGACTATGTGAGTCTGTGGGTTTGTAGAAAACACTTCTGTATAGACCCGTTGCATTCAACTGAAATTTTTGATGTCTAGAAACCCAAAGAAGTGTCGGAAAATTTCCAAGTATATTTCAGAGCCGGGTGAAAGGAATTAAGAGCGGTTACAAATTGAGTCAGCTCCTCTCTGGTGCAGGAGGTAGCGCCGATACTGCCGTCAATGTAACTATCGTAGAATTCAGGTTTGGGACCGTTGTATTGACGGAAAAATTAGAGTTCGTTAAAAAACCAACGAAAAGATTGGCGTAGCTGGGTCCATTCTGGTGTCTATGGCTACACCATTATTTTGCTTGTAATGGTTGCCACCGAATGAAGAGAAATTGAGTGTTAGGACTAGTTCGGCTTGACGGAGTAGTATTTCAGAGCTAGATTCCTTAGCAGAAAGTTGATCAAAAAAATGACAGTATAAAGAGATTTAATATTCAGAGACAATGGGTCGCCCTGGGTTGTTAGGTTTGTGGATGTGAGGTAAAAAGTAAATACGCGAAGTTCTAGGAGTAGTGATGGCAAGATTTTTTGCAGTGGCCGGAAATTCTTGTTTAGCTAGAAGATCGTTAAACGTGTTTTAGACAATGTTTTGGTTGATGCAGGTGACATTTTTATCAAAAACAATTCAGACGATTTAAAAAAAAATGAATTGCTGGCTTGTGTGGTTGTTCAATTTGTTCCTAATTAATTGAAAGCACACTTCCTCAGCCAGAACAGTGTTCCCAAAAGCGCTGACGTTTAACAGCTGTAGCCTAATCACAATAAAGCTTAATTCGATGAACAAAGGTGTATTCAGAGGTAAAATGCGCCGCAATTTGCATTTTTCTTTGTTCTTTGTTTATTTATTTGACGTATGCAACACAGCGACCGTTACAATATTTTAGATCGCTAAAAAGGCGACTTCAGAAAAATTAAAGCCTTGTGTAGTAATAACCTTTCTTACCTTAGATTATCTTTACAATCAACAACTCGTATTTATGTTGAATTATAAAGTGTATTTCAAGTAACACAGACGCAACCGAGTGTGAATTTCTGTGCGTAATCGGCTACGAACGATAAAAAAATGCTCAATGCAACACTGAGTAGAGGGTGGAGCAACAGAATTTCGTTGTGAAACACGAACAGTGGATTCCCGATTTTGCGAGTCCTCATGGGAAATGAAAATCAGTTGGAGTAAGTGGGTTGACAAGGAGAAGGGGAACGCGACTTTTGGTTCGAGTTATGGAGTTACGATAAATCGAGGACCCGTGCAATCGGGGTTCCACTGAAGTGAAAATGATGAAAGCTTTCACGCGTTTCAAACTTTCTGTTAGCATATCTATCATTTCATGGTTCACACCTTTTTCAAGAGAATAACAAAAATCAAACGTTATCAAATTCCACAGTTCGTTTTTATTCCAGAGTTTAGCGCTTTCGCTCGGGTTAACGAAAATCCTAAGTTGTGACGAATGCTGAGAACCAGCCGGATAACATTTTTACGCATGTTTTGAATTTAAAACATAGTGTGGACTGGAAAGTAAAGTACTTTCAATTTCTACTAGGACGTTAAGGATGATGTTTTCGCTCAGTTTTGTTGGGGGGTCCATATCCGCTAGCGGATTTGGACCGGGGGATTCAAATCTAGGGAGCTCCAAATCCGCAAGGACACCGATTAGAAAAGCGGTTGGCTCGAGTTAGTCAATCATCGATGTTTATTTGAAGTTTATTTCCTAGTCGTGCTATCCATTAACGCCAATAGACCCTTCGCGAGGATGGCGACCGAAATTGAAAATGTATCGTAAAGAAACATTGGCTTCGTGGAATGCAATGCAAACGGGAAAAATCACTTATTTGACGAATTCTCTCGAAAACTCACCGCCTTTCACTTGTCAACCGTGTAATGGCGCACCTCAGCTGCGAATTCCTCTGTCGCTCCCTACTACCAAACAACTACATAGATGCTTTGTGGCAAAGCTCCGGAACGCGACTGGGAGCCGAATGTCTGGTTTTCAATTGCTCGCGATCGAGGATTTAGGATTTTCCCTTATCCCACGTCCGTGATTAAATGAATACTCGACGGCCGAGCTCAACGTTTACGACAAACGCCTCACAAATAAATCGCGTTGAAGCTTACCTCTGAACAGCAAAATGAAGTGATTCCTTAATCCAGTTGTTTGCTTCAGTTTTCCCTTTCTATCTTTAGCTTCTGAAGTTTATAAACATGTGCTTTTCTATCTGTTGCAGCCTGCATCGATCAGTTGCTGTTACCGCTGGCTTTGTTGACATATTAGAAACTTATCACGCCACCGATCACGTGCAATTTGGCCAAGACCCAAATTAGTACCAGGAGTAATAAACAAGTACACACCACCATATGCGAGTGATATACGAGTAAATACGGCTACATACGAGTGATATTCGGATACATACGAGTACATAAGGTTATAATTTGTCAATTTTTTTCTTTATATATTGCATTAAAACTGTCAGGATCTGCGCGAACTATTTGTCAAATGCGAGGAAGAGCGAACCCTAGAGGTTAGATTCAATTGAGTTGAAGTTGGACTTCGAGTTGGACTTCGGTAAAAAAAAATTCCCACTTAGAACCGAATAATTATTTATCCTTGTTAAGGGTGTCACGGAACCTCAGATATTGAAACTGGCAAATCTCAGACACTCGAAAAATATATCTTTGCGCGATTTGCAATCAATTGTGCTCAACGCGAAATATAATGCGGCAATTATTTAAATCGTTTTCGTGAAAGTTGGCTTCGGTTTCTGAAAGAAAGGAGGGATAACTAAATTAAACTGGCTTTTGGCGAAATGAAATAAAATATATGTGAGATTTCACTAACAACAAATGTGTGTCGCGTGACACAAGCACTATGATTGGTTGATGCTTGGTCACGTGCCCCTGATCAAATGGAATATATCCCGGCGCAGTTGTTACACGCGCGTCGAAAACAACATCAAACAAGCGACTAAATACAGGAATGGCTCCGACCTGTGATTGGATGATAAAAATAGTAAAAGTAAATAAGTTATATCTTAACTCGTTGCTCGTGAGTATTGTTAAACGCGTGTCTCAAAGCGGAACAATGAAATATCAATGCGAGTGAAAACACCGATGTGTCAAACAAGAAATGGTTACTTACGTAACGAAGGAAAGGCAGCCTTTCTTATTCGGCGAGGTCGTTCAGCGATGAAAAAGTCATCTGACTAGCTCCGCTGACAAAACTCGTTTAGTCAGTTTAGGCGGACGACCAGAGACTGGACCCATTCCTGTATTTCACCGCTGACAGGAATTGGGAATAGCTCCGACTCAAATGTTTAATTTTTTTTTTCAATAATTTTTTTATAATTTTTTAGTTATTTTTTAAACTAGTGAGCAGCGCTGTGCAAACAGTAGTTGTAAAACTTCTTTATTCTCTGAAGCGTTTCGTCTAACTGTCGTAAACTTCTTCAAGGAGTTTTACAAGTAAACACTAAACGCCTATATTTATAAGCCACTGTTAGCGCGGGTTATTGCGGGGGCCAATGACCATAAAGCCTTGGCTTGACCTACGAGCGGGAATAGGCAAAGTTGTGAAAATTTTGAAATTTTCTTTTGAAAATTTTTAGGCGAGGTGAGAAATACTTTTGGGAGCCACTGTTTTAGCCAAAATTTTCAAATTTGAAAAATTGAAGCGGTTTTTTACAGATGATGCCATGTTCGAATACAGCGTCATGTGATGAACAGCCCTCATTAATTTTAGAACAAGTTTCATAAAATCATTTTACTCTTTCTTGTTATTGCCGAAAGCTGTTCGAAGATTGGTTGTACCATCACAGCAAACAGTACTTCGTCATGATTCAGTGCGAGAGCTATTGCCACTGGTTTGACTGGTAACACGTGTTTTTGGTTTGTTTTGTTTTTTTCCTTTTTTAGGTCTAGTGGAGTTGTTAGAAATTACCTAGCAAAATTAATCCGCGACTTTCTTCCTTTAGGTGTTGTGCAAAAACAGATGAAGTGCCCGATGAATAGATTTGTCCTTCATGCGAACAATAACCTAGAAAATCAGTTTTCCACGAAAAAAACTCCCTCGATTGCGGCTAAGCCATATTTTTCCAGCAGAGCATACTGTAAATTTAAAACATTGGTCGCAGCGTCACGCAACATTGCGTGATTATTTTCCAAACGTGACGCGCAGCTGCTGCATTATTTTCAAACTTAGAAACTACATGGCCCTGTAGTAATAAAAGATGGCTTTATTTGCAAGCGCTGTAGACTTCAACATAAGAAGAACCTAATAAATCGCTCTTTCAGTTTTTATCTCAGTGTATAAATTATTTAGCCAGAACGAAAAAAAAAATTAGTATACGCATGAGCTGGAGCCATTCCTGTCTGCGGTGAAATACACGAATGGCTCCAGTCTCTGGTCGTCCGCCTAAACTGACTGAATGAGTTCTGTCAGCGGAGCTTGTCAGCGGATGACTTTTTCATCGCCGGAATATCGCTGAACGACCTCGCTGAACAAGATGGACTCTGCCTTCTCTTCATTATGTAAGTAGCCATTTCTTGTTAGACTCATCGGTGTTTTCACATTGATATTTCATTGTTCCGCTTCGAGACACGCGGTTCATTATACTCACGAGCAAGGAGTTAAGATATAACTTATTAACTTTTACTATTTTTATCATCCAATCACAGGTCGGAGCCATTCCTGTATTTACTCGTTAGTCAAATCATGTCTAACTTAAAAAATTGCGTGATTTTCAGCACGTGCTCACGATTCTTTATTCACGATTGTGAATAAAGAAGTTTTGCCGTCCTTGTTTGTTTATTTTCTTTATTTTGTTTACATTCATCCGGACTCTTGGGAAAAGAAAACTAACTGTTTCCCTCGGGACCATTCATTAATTGTATCACGGACTACCTCTTGCGCGTGGGTCACGTAGCCATTGTGATGAGTTCAAAAGACCTTATTAACCCCGTGTTTTGCAACAAGAGAAGTTTCGATGGCTTAGAGAGGGTGATAAGGTATATTAGTTCTTCAACGTGGTCGCCTTTATTAAAAAAGAAAGAACTTTACGTGCTAAAATGGTGAACTTCTGTGCCCCGACGTACAACCATTCAACGGGGAGCCATACATGCAAGTTCTTCCCTTTTCAAAGCGCCGTAAAAGCAAAAGACAAGTACAAACGATGGATCCCTCCAATAAGGGTAGTGACAGTATTTATCGAAAATCTCTCTTTCTGAAAACAACGTAAAATACAGCAATTTTGAGCGGATGCTCTATTTTCATCCACTCGAGATCTCGCGGAAATTTACGATCGTCGCATGCGAGCAGTTGCATGTGGTGTGTATAGTTGATTTATGATTGCTTTTGTACTCTGTATTATGGTTTTTTTTTTTTTCGTTTTCATAACCCTGTATTGTGAACCGGAATTGAGCCTGAATAGAACTGTTACAGTGACAGCATACATTTGTTTTCACCATGCGTGAGCATAAATTTTAGAGGCGGTGAATTCCTTGTGTAGGAGAAGAGATAAAGGGTCCGGCAAGCACTTCAGAGTGTGTGGCTGCCATTTTAGAGATGGTAAAAAGTCGAATGGCTCAGAGATCTTTGAACGAAACAAAGACAAATAATATTATTTTCCGAGCAAAGGGGATCTCCTAAGAAGAAAAGGAAGAAATGCTTTAGGAGAAGACTAGTGCTGAGTTAGTGGAAGATGCTCGAAGAAGTTAGCCAGTATCTCTCCCAAAAGGGAAAAGTAAATAAGGAAAAAAACATCACAGGGGGTTATCCTGGACGCAGAACTGGACTTAGCCAAAAGAAATGTTCAGGATCTCCAGGAACGAGTCAAATATAAGAGCAAGTGTTACACTGTATCAGAACTGCCTGAAAATGGTATTAGAATGGAAACTGGCCTTCCAACAAAGGAAGTCTTCAAAATTGTTGTAAGACATGCCTCTAACTTTAAAGATTCCATCGATTATTTCAGGGGCTGGAAGGTTAAATCAGTCACTTTTGAGGACCAGATATTTATTGCCCTAATGAAGGTCAGGAAAAACGACACAAACCATCACTTGGTTCAACTGTTTAATTGTAGTGTTGCTACAATTCGCCACATCATCACAACTTTCATTCATGTATTGCATAGCATTTTCTTTCATGACATAATGACATCTATTCCCACACAAGAAACAACCTAGCTGCACTATCCTCTTTCTGTCAATTTGGATCTTGTCATATAGTGATAGACTGCACTGATATCGAGTTTGCAGCACCTGTGCTGATGAGTCAGCAAAGTGCAACACACTCTTCTTACAGAGGAATGAATTCATTCAAAGTCATTATTGGTGTTGCACCCAATGCTGAAATAACCCATGTAAGCAAGTTATACATGTTTCATTCACCAATAAAGCCATTATACAGGAGTCAGGCCTCCTCAATCACTTAACTCCTGGGGATATGATTCTAGTGGACAAAGGGTTTCTTATTCAGGACATTGTGCCCCATGGAGTTTCAGTTAACATCCCACCTTTTCTAAACAAAGGGGCTTTCACAGAGAGTGAGGCCAAAGCTACAAAGGGAATGGCGAGGTGCCACATACATATAGAAAGAGCATGTGCATGGCTAAAAGACTTCATAATCTTAACCTTCATCCCCTCCTACCTTTGTTGTTACTCTGATATTCTGTTGAAGCTGAGTGCTGCTCTTGTTAAGTTTTGAATGAAGAATTGAATTTCCATTAGTCATGGAAAGGTGTGAAGATAAGGTTTTTGAATAGTTTGGTTCATTTTATATTACTGAATGTGATATTACCCATTAAGGTCAAAAATAACATTGATGATAAATTTCAAGTTAAGAATATCTGGCATTGAAACACATTTATACTTCCACCACAACTACTTCCCCATACACTACGTAGGGTTAGGATAAGGAGGCAAAAAATCCTCCAGATAAGACTGTTTCCTTTCAACATAACTAAATCAATAGCAAATGAATAAAGAAACTGTGGTGCTGCATCAGTGGGAGAGTATAACAGGGTAATTTAGTGTTGCCAATTGGCCACTGTTAAGAATCTAAAGGCTGATGTTTCAAGTGTTAGCCCTTTGTCAGAGTGATTGATGAGGGGCTAACCCTCCAAACATCAGCCTATAAACTCTTTATGGTGGCCAATTTACATTGTTACTAAATTACCCTGTTAAATCAATGGCATGTGGCTTTCTTTTATTTATTAAATACTTTGTCATCATCCTCAATGAAAGCAGCTATAAAATTTGGAAATCAATGAAGGGCCAAAACTAATTTTCAGTCATTTGTCTGAACTTTGTTAAAAGAAATGTTACCTAAATATTTGAAGCATGCAAGAAAATTACAATTTCCCTTCCACAACTTTTGGAAATAAATGATTACAATAAAATTGCATAAGCAGGGGATATTTGCTGCCCATGCTTCATCTTTTTCAATTTTTAAAATGGCAACATCTTTTGTGGTCCATACAACCAAAAAACAGAAGTTTCTATGCAAGTATATCTCCCCCAGTACTTGATGCCAATAGACATAGTCTTTTTTAAGTACATAGCCCAGCCCACTCTCACTACTCTCGAGGCAAAGTGCTATTGACCTAACAGCCTCTTCAAGTGAGAGGTTTCTTTCTGTGTATGGTCAATTCACTTCCAGTCTCATGATCAACAATGCCATCTTCATCTAATTTAGTTCTGTGAACCAAACAGTCTAGCTGTTGTTGGTTTCCTCTAGCTCAAAGAAATTCCTCAGGGAAAAGAATTTCCTCAATAGTATGCTGACTTTAGGGGGCTCAAGGCTTTTTTCAGATCCTCATACAGTGCAGCTCGATTGGCATGTGTTGGCTTCCTTGACCAAGCATAGTAACTCTTGGGCAGAGGAAATAATTGACAGACCACCTGATTTGAAAGCAATTGGTTGGGCTTTCTTTTCTTCCAACGACATTCCACGTCTGTACGGCTCAGAGGGTGGTCTCGTGAATGAAAAGGGCGGCCGCGTGACTGCACTTAACCCTTTAACTCCCACATCAAATTTGTAATTCTCCTTACTGTCGACCATACACATCTTGTAAAGTTAGTTCAGAGAATTTAGTATCGGATCAACTAATTGTCTCCAAATTTATATTTTCCTTTATTCTCATCACTTATCTGGTTGAAATTGTATTGATATTGTAAGGAGAAATTGTCTCTTAGTCACTCATGGGAGTTAAAGGGTTAAACGCCTTTCTCGGCCATTCGCGCTCAGTTTTTTTTATTTCTTGCTAATCGCCCGAGTAAATCTGCAGTTTAGTACGTAATGAAAGATAATTCAAATGGAAAATACGCTTTTTAGGAGGAAAAAGTTTTAGTTGCAAGGTGATACATCGGCCATCGTTCGAAATTAAAAAGTCTAATGTTGTACTTAAATTGCTTGTGCTTACCGTGACTTTATAAGCCTTTTTTCCAGACTTGCATGCACTTCTCCGTGTAAAATTCCTTTGTTGTTACTTAAAAGACTCCAAATGATCAGATTTGTAGTGATTTTCTTCTTTTTGATAAATTTATTTTCATCTGAAAAGAACGATAGCAGGGACGCGATTGACGGTATAGCCATTTTGAATGAAGTGCGTGTTTGTTTAGAACACATTTTTCACTGTCAAGACAACGTGACGTAGTCGCTTTAGGATTACCTCGCTACCACCAAAGTTGTTCACTCGAACGCGACACGATGCAAATAACTCACTTTTTTTTTATTTCGACTATAAAGCAACTCAATCAGAGTACGTACACCGCCTGACCACGACTACTCAAATATATGGCTAAAAAAACCCACTGGCAAAAATCTGATGGCCATGTATAACGTGCAAATGGTTTATCGGTGACTACAACTTGCAAAGGATCCACTTCAGAGGTTTTTCAATGACTGCATCGTATATTGTTCTTTAGATACATATCTACACCTCCAGCATAGGAACATATTCAAAACTGTAACTTGGTATGGTTGGATTGAAGTCAAATCAGTTCGAATCGCTCAGAAGAATTGAGGAAATAACTATATATCAGCTCAACACATATCTGATAGCAAGTTTCATGTATTCATATCACCACAACAATCTACCAAATGACAAAAACGCATACCAACATTAACAGTGCATATTGTACATACTAGAACTGATTATGGGAATTTTTTTAATTTGGTATAGAGGAGCATCATATGGAACAATTTGCCGAGTGATATTAGAAACATTTTCTCTTCATTTGTTTAAGAGGTTGCAAAAATTATATTTCGAGAGCCTACCATATAATGTACACGAGGATATTCATGATAGGCCTGTCATTATAGATGAAACTTCGAAACCGTATTCAGTTTGCCAGTCCCTGTTATTATTGACGTAGAACAAAATAATATAAACCTTTTACTCTCTCATGTAGAACTATGTACGTTTTCTGTAATGACTAAATAAATACTATTGCGGGGATCTTTCCAAAAGCTCATTAGAGCTTGCTAGATCTCCTGCCTCTAAGAGTTTAATTCGTTTCAAAAGGCAAAATAAATGGCAACACATGATCTGGATCGATAGTGTAACTGTCGAATATCAAGATGGGGTTAGTTACGGCTTGACTCGACAAATCATACCCGCTTATGTTTGGTGAATTATTTGAGGAAATTATAAAAATCAAAAGTTTTCATAGATTGAGCGGCTAGTTATCAGGAGGAATGTTCAGAAAGATATCAGTGTCACGTCTTTCGCTCATTGAAACGAATATCACCTCTTTCGGAAGTTTTGTTTTTTCTATAAAGTTGATGAAGTCTGTTGTATCTTTGAGATATAATTTTTGTTGTTGGCCGAAGAATTTTATCTATGTAACAGGATAGTTTTTTTTCTGTTGATCCTTCGGTGGGTGGAATTTTTGTCTCATTCAAACACACCGAGGAACAACTGTTTTTTATGCTAGCTATATGCATTAAGCAGTTGTGCTTTTCTGAAAACGAGAGTTCACTATCAATATTGTAAAGGCTCTAATTTGTCCGTCAGTTGGCGGTGAACTTGAGCAACTTGAGTTTAACCGGGCGGGATCGAGATGACATTTTCATTCTAGCGGGATTGCGGGATGGCATAAAAAATAACGGCGGGAGGCCGGATTGGAAAAGTTTATTTTTGCTTGTGAAGTTGACGTTCCTAGATGTGAAATTCTTCTCTCAAGAGAGACAAAAATGTGATGAAAATAAAGTTGATTACACTCGTTTATTTTATTAGAACCTTTTTAAATAAAAACATTCAGGCTGAGATTAACCAAAATTTCACAAACATGCCAAGAACGTACTCAGGTTGAGAGTCATTTAAGAGCGTCTTCAGTTTGCTTATTTCTTTCTTTTTTTTTCTGTTGTTTTTTGTTTGTTTTTGTTTTTGTTTTTTTTTGTTTGAAAATTATAATTTAAGGTAAAAGGAATATGAAGCTGTGGTCTAACAGGACAATTAACTCAAATACTTGTGAACATTTTTAAACTTAGATTTATTGAAATACCTTACCACACAACCTTAAGAACATATTAGGAGCGTTTTCAGGCCAAAATTGCCAAAAAAAAAGTGAATAAATTAAAAAATAAGAATGTTTAGCCTCAGCCCCCAAACTAGACGTTCGTATATAAAAAAGAACGTGAACTCAGGGCCTTACGGCCGGTGATATTCTTCAAATTCATCGTACAGCGATTCGTTTTTGATGCTATATTTAAATTTGTCTTCAATCCGACGGAGACTAAAATATGTCAGTATAAAATCTTAAAGCGTTCTATCAATTGCAGAGATTGCAGTCTGATAGGCAACACAACGCACGATCAATTGCGTGATAGATTGTTAGTAAAGCGAGAAACCTGTAATAGCTCAGTTTTTAACAAAATGATATTAAAACATGAACCTGTCTTATTGTTATTGCTATGAAAGACTAACTGATTTATACCAAAATTACAAGAAGCTTATTGGGCTTCGAAACTTGTGCGTGATATTGGATTTCGCCCCCATCAACTATCACCGCGATGCAAATCTCGTTTTCAAATTCTAATTTGTAGTAACTAGTTTGACAATACAGCACTATGAGGAAAGTCCAAAGTTCAAATGATATACCAAGAACGATCTTGAGTGACTTATGATGGAGAGGAATAAGAAGGATTGACCCGAACGTGAAAGCCGGATTCAGGCTTATATCCGTAAGATATTGAAACCGTCAAAAAGCTGTTATGAACATTGGTAAGTCTCGTCGATAGGTCGAGAGTAACAAGACCTAACTAGCGTTTAATTTCTCCTTGCAATTTCACCTTTGAATCACACATTAAGGTCATGAGAATAAAGGAAATGATCACCAGCTAAAGAAGCTCTTGATTGTTGAACAAATTCTCCTTGTCAGCACCTTACGAAATGTATAGAGAACAGTATAGAGAATATGCATATTGTGTTGGGGTGTGTCCTGTGGGTTCAGGATTGACCTTTGAGCCGACTATGATCATGACTTACAATTTCAAAAATAGTTAACCTTGGAACTGATAACTCGTTATCCATTAAAGTGTTATTGAGTGAGGTAACCCATGGGGCTTTGTTAGTAATTCAATAAAAAAAAAAATGAAATATGATTTTATTGTGTTTCATTGGAAACCTGTTCGAGGCGTTGAATCAGTAAAACGACGCGAAATAAACGAACGGCGCAATAGTGGAACCAGAGCGAAAAGGGGAAGAAGATTTGAGTTGGGAAGCGTCAGGAATGCTTGTAAAACTCTTCAACAATAGGTTATTCGCACCTTTGGGACCACCCAAGGCGCGCGGTCCTGTAACAAAAGTATGATTTGTGGTTTTGGGTTGTTGATTAAACATGAAATTTCCTGGGAAGTAAGAATGATTCCTTATGGTTTGCTTGACTATCTTAGTGAACTTGCGAAAACTACGGTCGCCTGCCTTGGAAGACCAGGGATCTAAACAACATTCCGGCCTTCTTGTGGTAAGTATAAAATGTCCAAAATGAATGATTTTTATCTAAAACATTTGCAAAACCTCTTCAGAGTAACTATTCTCCGGCTCCTTGTCTAAGCCTTCATCTAGTCCAAGGTCGTCCCATGGTCATTGCGGCTATTCTAAGTGCGATTTAAAATTTCTCCCCTTGATCTTTCATTATGGTCATTAGCAGGAGCCCATTACTGGCCGGAGCCCATTATCCTGCCATTAGTAATTTAATCTCAATGATCGATAACATTTCCTGGGTCATGTCCTTTTGTGTGGCATTGACTGTGCTTGGAAAGAACAAAAGAATCAAGCTGCTTTCCGAAACTCGCGGCGAGAATTAAAACACATCTCTCACTGCTCACAGCGACAAGATTATTATAATGCAGTCTAGCTGTTCTTCGCCAGCGAAGTAATATCTGGAAAGTTTCCAAGTACGTTGTTTATAACTTATTAGAAACTTGCGTCACATGCGTGACGTGATATTTGAACTGCCATATTTTCCGTCGAACTTTTGTTTCGACAACAACTGTCACAATTAAACGATCAGAGGGTATACAAGATTCTGATATACCCGAACGACCTTCGGTTATTTTACGGAGGCTTTTCATCGGAAGTCATAATGTATTCCTAGTCTCGTTCCCGGACTACCGCTCCTTGTGGGTGTTAGCCTATTTCTATGGTGCTCTGGAAACAAAATTTTGCAAATCATTCAGTTTCATTTTAATGATTTTTTTTTTCGCATATACGAGTCGAAAAGTTCAATTCCTGTTTTATATAGATGAAGATGAGTGCACGAAACTTGATTCAACGAATAATGGATTTTAGGAATTTACAGTCCTGCCGTAAATAGCTTTGTTCGGATAAAGTTAAAAATAAGTTTCTACAGTCTAAATTAAGATTTCGCGTCAAGAACATTTGTGTGAATTGTCTCAACCTCGCACGGAAGATAGATTGGTTCCTGATGGTCTTGCAATATCATGTTATTCTCCGCTTTACGTGCGCATTTAGGCGAGTGTTCACGACACATGTATCTTTTATCGATTCTTACTGGTCCTGTGTTAATCGTAGTGAGGTGAGTTTCAATTTTCTTTCTTTATCATCAAGTTAAGAAAATTCCGAGAACACTATATATGATACTGAAAGTTTAATTTCTGTCGGTACCTACTGCCTTTCACAGCGTTTTTCTACTCTATATAGAGAGGGTATTTACAATTGATGTGATAGCTAATTTTGATTAACCTCGAGATTTGGTTTTGCTGGATGTATTTATGTAAGGTGTTATCGTTTGGATTGGCCAATTTATGCTGAGTCGTCGTAAAGTGAAAGTTTAAAATAGTTTAATTACGACTAGGACTACCCATAGGATAAGTCCTATGATTCTTTTCTAGAGGGTTAATCCTCCATGATGAAGTAAATCCATGTTGTTTTGATTTCGAAGGCGAATAGTAGAATCCGAAACATACGAGACGTCAGTATCCCTGTTTAAAAATCAGAGTCAGAGACAAAACTGTTCTAACTACTCAGCTCTTATTTTCGTACGTACCAATACAATGAACTTTTCTATAGAAAGAAAATTGTTGCACTACATTAGGGTTGCGGGGAAAATCGCATCACGTACTTTTTCGCTACGTTTCTGTCGCTAAATCAGCGATATAACTTAACCAAAAAAAAAAAGGAAATTACAAAGGCAATATATCTTAACCAAAAGCAAAAATTACAAAAGACTACCTGACCTATGATAGCGTCTTACTGTATTTTGTTTTATTTGGAAGAGGATCAGAAATATCCAAGCATTCTGTAAAGATATTTTCAATTTCTTACAGATTTGTTCGAAACAATTGAGGACGTCAAATGTTACAAGTATTCTTTATAATTAATGCGATAATAGGGGCCGTAATCACATAAACTCCCGAGCTACGAAGACATAAATAGCTCCCAGCTAGGTAAGGGCGAAAATCCGAAGAAAATAGGAACGATACATATCTCATTATTTTATTCATGGTTTTAAAGAATATCAAGCAAGACAATGAAGAAAGTCTAGTGCTTCTGATGCCAAAAATAGCTGCACCTACGATGTTTCTGACAACGGGTACTTACTCGAAACTTAGACAAAACAATTGCTTATTTACCAAAGTTAAGGCCACGCTAACGTTTAAACATCAGTCCTTGTTGTGCTGCTTTTGTAAGGAAAGGAATGGTGACTTTACACAGGCTTTCTTGTTGGCTTTTCGCGATATGGTAGCTAAAAAGGTGAACAAAGATAATTTCATTCACCTGATGACTATACAATTACCAATATTATATGTGCGGGTGCTCCATTCACCGCCTTGGATAGTCTTCATCTCTTTGTATGGAAGCTGGTGAAAATCTAATTTGTGTTTATGGTATTTTCCTGCGTCCTAGTAGTTTAATTGAGACTTCGAATCAGTCTCTTGCCCTAATATATTCACCCGGTTCACTCGGAGGAAATGGGCTCACCCCGGAGAAAGAAATTTCCCTTGCTGGGCTCAGCCCACTTCAAAATACATTCTTAGCATTCTCGTTGTCAAACATTCCCAGATTTCCTCTCGGTCGTTCTATCACCAAGAGCTATTTCTCCTTTGTTTTATCCAGCGTGTGTTTTATGGACGGTGGCTTATTTACATAACTTCAAATGAGCGGAAAGCGGCTTAAGCCGTTTTCTTTCGACGCTACTTTTGTAGACAAAAGTGGAAAGAAATCGAGGAAAACTTTTTCGCTAACGGCGGAATCCACGCTTCGTACCCCACGAACCTGTTCAGTTGAAAATGAACAACCTGAGATCGTCGAACCTTTCTCGTTTGAGGAGTTTAGTGAGAGCGGTTCTGGTCTATCTTCGTACGAGAAAAGACATATCGCCAACATCCAGAAATGGGACAACATAAGAAGACAGTTGTTTGATTCTTATGTGGAGAATGCTGTTTTCCGACTGACACAACATGTGTTTACTGCCTCCAAGAACCAGCAACACTGCGATGTCAATATTGTGGCCCCAAGCAGTACTTCTGCCTTGAATGTGCTAATATTTTGCACAGTGTGAGGAACCATTTTCATGTTTTGGAAAAATGGAAGGTGAGTTTCGAAATGTAATAAGTGGATTGAGTTTGTTGGTTCTCTACTCTGCTCCGAGAGGTTTCCGATCGAACTGCTGTGGGACCAACTTTTGTTTGACATTATTATTCTCGCCCCTTTTTTGTAAGCTGATCTATTGCATATCAGTTATTAAGGAATATATGAATAAAGTAGTTAAAAAGAACAAAAGTTTTAATTTTCATCCAAATAAAAATTATATGAATATAAACCTGGTGTAATTGTCAAACAAGATCTGCTGCAAGGAAAAACTTGTATCTTCCAAAAGCAAAAACAAATTATGACAAATTCATTATCAAATTCATAGGTACAAAAATATGGAGCTCAGTAGAGAAACTATTACAAACTGTTTCTTCGCTAAAAATGTTTAGAGCTTGTATCAATTCAAGGTAGAAATAAAAATGTTGTTGTTGTTGTGTAACATAGAGTATATTGTCAATTCAGCTGTCATGCTGTCTGTAGTGCAATGAATCAAAATATTCATTGTACCCCTTTTCATGTAGTTCTTATTCTTATTAACCGAGCGGGAGGTCTGTATGGGAGAATCGAGACCGAGATCACCAGTACAGACCGAATACAGTGAGGTCTGTACCAGTGACCAAGGTCAAGATTCTGTCATACAGACTGACCTAGCTCGGTTAATAAGATGTTTATTACATGGCTGTGTCTTATATGCCATTTTTTTATATACTTTTTACCTGTTTTTCCTAGACTGGTCTAGATGCTGGTCTAGATGAGAAAATCTAGACCGCTTTCAACATTGATTTCAGCCAATTGATCAAATTTGTGAATTTGGTAGTTCCCAGTCTTCGTGAGACACAGCCATATAATAATTACTATTTATTAATATATTGCTGGTGTCTCTACTAAAAAAGTAAGTAATGTTATTGTATATTTTAATTAATTTCAGGAGGGGATGTTCACCCCTTATGTGGTCAACGGATTACCATTAGGTTTCCAATGCAACTGTGGATCTGCTGAAGCAAGAGACATTGTGTGTATTGATGAGCACGGTATGAGAATGTTTAGCTTTGCACATAGTAATCTGTAATTGAAGAAACTAAAAGGTACTTTATTAACTAAAGATAATGTAGTCATGTACTCTTGTCCTGGTCTGCTGATTAGTATAGATATATGCAACACTGATGACGACCGTATCATCTTCATATATGCTGCATTCCATAGATTAAGCAGCACATTATTTTTTGGATTATAATAGAATCTTTTTGGAATTCATTTTGAAATAAATAACATTCCTTTCAAGTTTTCATTCAGTTATCATTTTATTTTTAATTGTAGGCAATCAGTATTCAAAAAAAGTTTGGTTTTGTAACTGCTATCACCCAACCACAACACTAATAAAGAACAACTTGTGGCCAGCATCTCCTGATAAACCTGCCACAGCCTTCACATTTTATTTAATGGATCTGATGGAAACAGTGTTCTTGCACTGCAAAGTTTCCCTCAGATAATTTTGTGAAGCCGTTGAACTGTTAAGGCCCTCGTTACAACCAAGAATGGTAAGAGCAGTAAATGCACTGCCTAATTATCCAGTAGTTTTTCATGTTGATGAAACCTTTCATCATGTGCATTATGATCCCACGAATACATGCATGTTGTACATTATTTTAATCACTCCCTAGCTAGAAGATAAGGAAATTCCTGCCAAAGAAAAGATGTTTCTTAAAGAAACAACATAATGGCTTTTTATCAAGTGTAATTTATTTTAAGCATGAAGTGAATTCTAATTATAAGACTAGCATCAAACAAGTACTCTCTCAAATTATAGCTAATATACATGGATGAATAAATTTTGAACTCATTGAAATTTTAAACTTTTTTGTTATCACAGGTTTTTTCAATATATCAACTCCTAAATCAAGCATCTTTTGAAGAGTACAGGTAATTAATTGCATACTAATTTTTATTATGACATATGGTACCATGTAGTCATGACTACCAATATTTTCTTATCATGTACCCATATAGCCATAGTCATGGCTACCCAATACTACATGGGTAGTCATAGCTAGCCCTATTATACATGACTAGCATGATACCCCAACGTATTATACATGGCTACCAATATTACTTTCTTATCGTTATGAACATACAATCTTGTACATGTACATGTAGGTACTTCAAAGTATCAAATTAAGAAAATGACTCAGTGCTTCCCAGACCTCTGGAATGGTACAGTTTGTCCGCTTTGTCCAAAGGTATTTAATAAATAATCTTCCTTTATTCATGATATTTTACATGTACACTTGATTGCAGAGACCTTGAATTGTACGCTCTATACATATACCTAATTTATTCAGTATATTTAATGATATTCAAAACAGAAAACTCCCTTTACAGATTAGGAAACAGTGTCTAAAGTGCTTTTGATTTAATTATTTAAATGTATAAAAGGTATTTGTTGCAGGTAATTTTTTTTCTAAGGTAATTTTAATTTTTCCCTAGGTACAATTTTTTTTAACCTGGGTAATTTTGCACCACAATATTTTTTTTTTGACTTGCAGGAAAATGGAATTTTGATAGAGAGCATGGATGCATGCTTTGGTCTTTCCAGGAAGAAATGCCAGGGACTGAAATCAATAGGAGTTCCAAAACATGGACAGCTGATGTTTGCAGACCAAGATGATGTTGACAATTTTGTAAATGGCTACTGTGAACGTGCTTCTGAGGTTTCAAAGGTTTGTTAATAAAGAAAAAATCAAGCCACAGCACATTGGAAACAGTAGCCTAAAAATGTCCTGTGCAAATATCTTACTTTTACTAGTAGCTATTCCTTTCCAATAACAAGGAGCTATCTGATGACCTCATTATGATGGTCAGTGATAATTATCTGGGAGCCTTCTCTCACCACACCAGTGGCAGATACAAATTTACAAACTTATGTAGACACAAATGCCAAGCCATGCCAAATATTAATTATTGATTTTTTTTTTTGTTTTGTTGGCAATATATTTCTATATTCCAGTATACACGTAAAGCACTTTAAAACCCAATTAATTTTTTTTTTAGACTGCAGCTCATTTCATGCTGGTGAACTTGCAAGCTCCATTAGATCAAAAGGAAAGAATAAACTTTTTGATGAGAAAGGAGTCTTTGGTCGTGTCTGCAGACATGACTTCCCCAAAGGATTTCATAGCATCAAACATGGTGAAAGGTGCATTTCAGTAATTAATAATTATTATGTAATAGCAATGGACAAATGCATTGGCTATCTAGCTGTTATCCTTGAAGTGTTGTCATTACTCTTATTATCTTGATCTCTTTTTAAAAATCAATGATTATTATCTATTGATGAAAGTACTTGCAAAGAGTTACATGTTCTTTTTGAAGTTGTAATAAATTTATAAATTTTTAGAGTATTTATAACATAGCGCACGTTCTTTCTCTGTGTAAGTCTTATTGAGCTGCTATGAACAAATGTCCCACTGATGCATGCTGGTGACGTCAAATCCCTCGCGACAATTTTTTTTTCTTGCAGGGGACTTGAGCATTTTTCATTAAAAACCGGGAAAAACTTTGGTAATAAACTAGACATGGCAACAAGTGAACAAGTTGATGAAGATCTACCTACCTTTTTTTTTTTGAAAGAACCCAGAGAAAGGGGAAGACAATCAATGCTGATTTCATTTCGTTCCTCAACTCTAGCTTCATTTCCACGCATGAATGCAGCTGTCAGTTTTAACCAATCCGAGAGGAGATCATTGAAGCGTGGCGAAATACTTTCCCAAAACAAAAAACCACCACACATTGAGGCATAGGAGAGGGAATTTCTTCCCTTTATTCATAAACTGCAGCGTGGAAAATGTTATAAAACAATTGGTTCATGTGTCAGCTGCGTATTCATGGAGAAGTTGAGCACTTGGGAAGTTTGGAGAGCACTAAAAATGTTAGAGTTGCTCGAGGCACAGCCTCGAGCAACTCTTCTACATCTTCGTGCTCTCCAAACTTCCCTTGCAGTTAAATCTCCATGAATGCATGCTGACGCATGAACCAATTGTTAAATTTAAACCACAACATATATACATCAGTATTGAAAAGGTGTGGCCACCTTCATTTTTTCCACTTTTTCTTCTTTTTTGATCTTTGGATCTTTTGTTTCATTTCAGGATTGGTTATCCACTTTACGAGGTTAAGCGCTTTCTTGACGAGAACAATAAAAGTCTAAAGTTTGTCATGCTCTATGACATTGCATGCATATTGTCCTCACATATGAAGGTAAACATATTTTTTGTTGTTGTTATTGTTGTTTTCTACTACTAAATTTAATAGTTATAGCTAATGGAGTGTTTCTTAAGTTCTTTATATCATTTCATTCAGTTTATATTGAAATTATATATAAAGGCTTTTTGGGTGAAGTGTCCAAAGGCAGCTATAATTTCTGTGTTTGTCATTACAATATACTAGATAATATAATGTGTGGTTAGATCACAAACTTTTAAATTTTATTCTTGTGAATATCAACAATAATAACAATAATCTCTGTTTTAGAAAAATGCACAAGAATTACTGTTCAACCCAACCCAGTTGACCTTGGGTATACCAATTTTTCACTGTTATGGTCACAAAGCTTCATGTCAGGTAACAAAGCATTCCTAATTTTAATTAATGGTAATAATAATAACTTAATTGTGATTGCTATGTATCAAATTGAAATTAACTCTTAATTCTTCAGATCAAGTATTCACCAAGACGTATTGATGGAATTGGTCTCACAGATGGTGAGGGTACTGAGAGGCTTTGGGCTTTCCTTCGTGACTATTCTAGGATAACAAAGGAAATGGCAGCAGATAAAAGAATTGATGTCCTTACTGATGGTCTTTTGCACTACGGAGATCAACTCCGTGAAAAGTTTGGTAAAGCTTGTTTAATCTATAAAGGGTCTTTTTTGAGGGTATTTACTGCTACTTCAATATAACAAATAAAAAGAAG